GACTACAGCTAACAGGAAAGCTTGCGCAATTCCCCTGCGGCAGGAGGACGCTGAATGGCTCATGGTCAGAACCAGACCCTCAGAGGCCCAATCTCAAAGCCAGACGCATTGCCAGGGCACTCGGGGATGGGGGTAAGAGTCCTGCCTGCTCAACACAAGGGCACTGCCAGGGTTACTCGGGGCCTCAGGGGCCCGTGCCAGCCACACAATCCTCACCCACTCAAGCCAGGGCCAGGAATGCTCTGCCCTTCCCATACTTCCCTGTTAACCCTTTCTGGTCTGGATTCTCATAAAGCTCTGCAAGTCACCCCTTTTCCAGCACGGGGTGGGAGAGTCCATCAATTACAGGAGGAGCCCCAGCACCCCACTGCAGCTCCAGCGCTCCTCTCCTGAAAGCAGCTGGGAGATCACCCGCCCATCTCACAAGGCCAGGCCTTCCCACTAGCTCTGCGCCTTGCGCCCCCTGGCTGGTCCCAATCTGCAGCACACACCAGTAACAGCAGCAGAGCAGCACGGGCTTCACAGATCAAAACAAGAAATGTGACCATTCCGCTCTCCATGGAAGGAGAACGGGGGGGAGAGGGACAAAACCAATCTGAGAGCGGAACGTTAATTAATTGAGGCTTTTGTTCAATTTCTAAACAAGCTTTTAAACGGCAGCTTGAGTTACACCTGCTCTGATAATATTACAGAGAGGCGGCCCAGCCAAACTCAGAGCGACCCACTGGCAGCTCAGGTTACCAGCATGCGGCTGCTTTTCCGGGAGCGCCTGGTGTTTAGGATCACAGGCTCGACGGGAGCGGTGGCCGTGGCTGATCGCTAGCCAAAGGGCTGCCTTCATGCACAGCTGCGCTCACACCGCACAATCTCCCCCCACGCAGACAGCTGGGGGAATCTGCTACAGTGAACTGGCAAGTCGGCACGCAATTCGAACTCTGACCACTACGGCTCGACAGCCAGGCCATGACAGAGCGACATGCGGCTGCTCAAGCCTGCGCAAACTGAGCCCTCTGGGCTGATTTCAAGGTAAGGGAAGGAACGCCAGCATGGCTTGGGCTTGGGAACTGCCCAGAAGAGAGGAAGGTGGTGAAGAGCTTCTCAGCACTGGCAGGATCCGAAGATATGAGATGCCAGGGTCCAGATCCTGGCTGCTGGTAATTCCTCTGCCATTGATGGGGGAAAGGAGAGTGAATGCCCCAAACAGGCTCCAAAGAACTGGGCCCCAAATATAACAAACAAGGACACAAGAAGAGAGGGATAGCTCAGTGGTTTGAGCATTGGCCTGCTAAACCCAGGGTTGTGAGCTCAATCCTTGAGGGGGCCATTTAGGGATCTGGGGCAAAAATTGGGGATTGGTCCTGCTTTGAGCAGGGGGTTGGACTAGATGACCTCCTGAGGTCCCTTCCAACCCTGATTTTCTATGATTCTAAGGACACCTCGGCAGCTGGCAAGCTGTGATCACTACACTGATTGGCTAAGAACTGCATCTACCCCATAACATATTGCCCCTTTCCCCCACCTCGGCCCATTCTTCTGCCTCACGCCACTGTGATGTCATCTGTTAGACTCTCAGCTCTTGGGACAGGTCCCTGTTTCCTATCTGCTTGTGCAGCACCTAGCACAAGGGGGCCCTGGCCTGGATGGCCTCCGGGATGTTACAGAACCAGAGCAAAATGCTTCCAGTGGCTTCATCCCGAGATGAGAATATTCCCTCCTTCAGTGGGATGTTTTTCTTTTGAAGACCTGTAGCAAAAGGGCTCCTGGCCTCTCCTGCTGGGCTTTGGAAATTAAAATAAAGATGAATGGAGTGTTCATCACCTAGGATCCTCTTCCTCCCATCCCCCGGCCCCTTCTCTCTTTCCCAACCCTTCCCTTGATGAAAATGGCCTTGCATCTCCACAGTTCAATCCACCAGAGAGACCCTGTGAGCGTAGCTTTACCAGCAGTCAGGTCTGTCGTTTGGCAACGGGGAAGGCATCGCCCTCGGCCCTGTGGCCTTTCAGGGAAAGAACATTTCAGCGGCAACACGCCTCACTCATGTTTTCAACAGCCACGCAAAGGGAAAGCCTTCACGGAAGTCTCTTGAAAGCTAGAGATGCCTTCCCAGACACTGGGCATTGCGCAGCGGGGACTGGAGAACAGGCCCAGAGACACAGGATCCATTACAGCGGAGCATGCCAGAGTACCGCTATCCACCCTGCCAACACAGTCCCCCACCCCTCTCCAGAGACTGACGGGAAGGGCAGGGGCTGCAAGCTAGCTACTTGCTTTCTTTTGTACACCATTCCCCACGAGGGGCTAGAGAGCTAAACGACCCCCAGCCCATCTCACTTGCGGCCTACTGAGGCAATTGCACACCACTAAGTCATTCTGGCTTACGAAAGAAAAGCCCCAATGGGCTTTTACACTAGGAAACAGGATGAAGCAGGATGACACAAAGGTGACATTCGGCATAAGGGAGAATCACACTCTTCTCTTTGGGGAAGGCAGTGGATTCGTTATTAGGGGGATTGGAAACGTGCCCATCACCCTAGCATCTGGGCACTGTAACTTCCTTGGCAACAACATAGTTTTGGCAGGCCAGGAGGGGGCTGAACTATAGCCTATATTTAAAATCTAGAGGTGGGGGAAGGGATGATCTTTGACCTCTCCCCATGAACTGACCCAATCAGCCCTGTCTTAGCCTCCCTTTCTGTCGAGGGCGGAGTGAGCAGAGTATTCTTGCTAAACACGAGTTTCTGCCCTAGCTCCTTCAGGCCACGCACTCAGGTCCCGAAGGAATCCCACACAAATCGCAGGAGGAAACGACTTCTTAGGTGCCATCTAGCCCACCAGGTTGCCCCCTCCAAGTACAATGGCTAGTGCCAGTTGTAAGCATCCTGAACGCCTGGGTTTTCATCTCTTCCCTGGGGAGACTTTTTCACCGTGTCACAGATCTCACTGTCCAGACATCTTCCCTGATATTCAGCCTAAAATCCTGAATCACAGTAGTGGTGGTTATGGATTAGCCTCAATTCAGTTACCACCATTTCTTCCACAGCTACAGAAGTCCATTTAGGGAGGTGGGGAGCCAGGGAAGACATATTATTCTAGGGGGAACACAAACAGATTTACCCAGTCACCCTCTCATTATTCCTGTCCTGAAAAGATGCTCTTCTCCTGAAAACATCTGCTAATGGAGTTGAGAGGTTTGGGGCTGGGTTTTAGGATTTTTGTTTGGGTTGGGTTTTTGGTTGACTCCAGCATTTTTCAATTTCAAAGCAGTAAAGACATTTTCTAGACACAAGGGTTCACATTGTAGTGTCTCTTCCCGCAGTTCAGAATTGTGCATATACACACACACAAACACACACACAAACATGTACTAAGTAACAGCCACACAAGCTGCCTCTGAGCCCCAGTACAGTAAACAATTTGCTAGCTCTCTCCCCTCTTACAGCCTGCTTGATGCTAACAACAAAGGGTTACGAGAAAAACACAACAAACGGCAAGCACAGTAATAAACACAAGTTTCTCCCACTTTCCTAGTGTTATCTGGATTGCTCCAGCATCCCCAGCAATACACCGGCACAGGGTAAATATGGGCCATTTGGCACGCAAACATTACATTAGGTTCATATTTACTTTCCCTGATCCCTTTAGTTTCTGGAGAGCAGATTTGCTGGAAAGGGAAAGCCATAGCATGGGAATAGGTCCGCGTTCCTCACTAGACCTGGACGTGGGGAGAACTGCTTGGGCATTCATTACATTAAACCCGTTAACAGCAATGGGTCTGTGTTAGCCCAGTCCTCTTTATCCGGTAAAGGTGCCTGGCAATGCTCTTAAGTAGGGTATCACAATTATTCCATAGCAGTGCTACAATTGCACTGTGACCAAATAGCACAGCCTCGGGAAACGAACCATCAAAGAGCACCCTTCGAACAAGCTATTTCACAATGGAGGTGGGAAATAAATAAATAACCGGCAATTACTCATTCCCAACCTTGCTGCATTTAACTGCCAGGATAAAGCATTCCACCTCATTTCTGCCCAACTTCCCACAGGCAACTTACTCATGGGGCTACATTTCCCTAAATGCTCACATTTCAATTAGCATTAGAATAATGAAATGCCTTGCAGTTCACCTCCCCGAAAATGTACTGAACGCTGAAGAGCAGAGATTGCAGAAGATGAGGGATTTTTTAAGCACACACATAACATAGCACGGAGGAAGGAGGGGGGGGAGGAATCCAGTCCTTTCCCTACTCTACGCTGATGAGATTTGCATGGGCTTTTGCTACCAGCCTCTCCAAACAAGGATAATGCAACTTCCAGTTGATTTTCCAGATAAACAAGCATGCAAACAAACGCAAAGTGCTCAACTACAAATATCTGCCTCCTACACATACCCCCGCTACCTTGAGATCAAAATACACAAATCCCAGCTCAGCATCCGAGTGGGGCTGGGAAATTGTAACAACTTGAGGGGCATCTCACTCTCTCTCTCTCTTAAAAAGGAGAAACTGCAGATTCCCAGATACACACAGCCAGGGCACAGGAGGGTGGGTTTGCCAGTGGGGGGAATAACAAATGACAGTTTAATCGGATCCGAAGTCTCTAAAGGAGCAGGCGGCTTAGAACTTGCTTTACGTGCCCAGTTTGTGTGTGTGTGTGTTTCATCTCTCTGCTAACACAAATGGTGAAAAGAAGGGGTCGCTTTACAGCATCTCTGCCCGCCCCTGCTAAGCCATTTCGTCTCATTTACTTTACCCCACTTAAACGTGAGCCAAACTGTTGCTGTTTCAGTGGGGGCAGAAAATTAGATTCGCGTCCTCTGCACGCACCCCAGGCATAACGGGTCTGAGGCAGGCAGGGAATAACCATCATCCATAGCAATGCTGAGGGCACCTGAAATCCACACGCCAGTTTCTCCCCTTAAACACACACACACACACACACTGTGTCTCGGGCAGCAGTAAAGGAAAGGGCACCCACTGGGGTGGGGAGAAGAGCTGACTTACATTGAAGTGATGTTCCTTGAGATGTCAGTGATGTTGATGCTGGTGTTCCCATTGCTGGTGCCTGAATCCTGCCCTTCCAAGAGAGGGAAGAGGTTCCCATCATCCGGCTTCTTGCAATTGATGTCTGTCTTGCTGCAAAGGCAATTCGCAGGGCAAGCCAGCCCCGAAAGCAGATAGTCTCCCCAAATGCTCCAAAACAAAAATACCCTCCAGAAACTGCACTTGGTAGGGCAAAGAGAGACATCCATCTCCGACTGCTGCTTCTACAAAAGAGGAGGAGGAGGAGGAGGAAAGGGGGATGGGGGGGAGAAGGGGAAGGAAACAAAGACAGAGGGAGGAAAAAACTCAAACGATCAGATGCAAAAATCCTCCAGCAGATGAAATCATGCTGGCAGCTGGCTAGGAGAAGCTGTAATTCCCCCTACAGTAGCGGTCTGAAATGCATAGTGCCTTGTTGATTGCAGGCTGGCTCTCGGTACCAGGCGCTCTCTCGCTCCCTCGGAGAGACTTCTGAGGATTGCAATAGAAGATGGGGCGGCAGCACGCGCGCACACACACACACACACGCACACAAATGGTGCTAAAGTCACCAAGTCCCACCTACTGGGCAGAATTAAAATTGACACACCTGCAAAAAAACCCACACAGAGGCAAGAAGAGAGGATCAGGAGAGGAGGGTGCACCCTCTCCATGCCCTCCCCCACGCTGGCTGGATCTGCTGCAGCAGGAGATGCGTGCAAAAATATATGCGTATCCGTAGAGCTAGATTGCACAAGTGCCTGCAAAGAAATCCCGTCTCGGCGTGTTTCCCTCTCTGCAATAAAAAGGATCCCCACCCCCCATCCCCTTCCACTTAAAAGAAGAGGCTGGGATCAAAGCTGAGGACTGGAGAGGAGGAAAGGCATCCCGGCTGGAAGAGGGAAAGTTCCAGTTGGGATTGCAATTGAGAAGAGGGGGAGGGGAGATTGTCTTCCGCTGCTTTTACTTTCTTTTTCTCCTTTTTATTTTATTTTATTTTTTTCGCTGCAATCCGGACAGCCCGCCGGAAAGACACGCACTGAAACCGAGGAGCCTGACCCCGGCGCGGATTCCGGGTTAGGCGTTTCTTTGCTCAGGATCCCGGGGAGATAACAGGCAGCTCCCAGGGGTGGGTGTAAAATAGATTGGAGAGCGCCCAAGAAGCACTTTCGAGAAAATGCACCCCCGCCAAAATAGAGGCGGCTGGGAACAATGCAACGGGGACCCAGTGGATCGTCTGGAACTGCCCGGCGAGCTGCAAGGCAAGGGGGGGGGATCTCTTTCGCTCCCTTGCACCAGCAGATTCTGCCATCACACGCACACACCCGAAGAAGAATGAAGTGTTGGAGAGGCTGGCCTGAGAGCGCCGAAATGGCACCAGGAGAGCCGCGTGTGAGAGCTGAGCAGCAGAGCGAATTAAGATGCATGGTGCATTTTTGGCAAGCGCAAACCCAAGCGGATCCGGGGGCTGCTTAATTTGCTCTGCTCTTCTACAGCGCTTTTTTACGTGCTTTTTTTTTTTTCTTTAGTTTCTTGTTTCTGCTCCTCCGCACAGAGAACACGATGATGATAAAGGAGCCGAGCGGCAGGCGGGTGGTGGGGAAGAGGAGAGGAATTACAGGTGAATCAGTCCAGCTATCTCAGGCGGGTCGCTGCCAGGGAGAGGGACTCGCTGCTTAGTCCGGGGGGGGGGGGGGGGGACACTGGAAGTCTTGGCTGTTTACTGAATCAAAGCAGCGCGATCGGGGAGGGAGGCAGCTTAGCAGCAGGCAGATAAACGCACCGAAGCTACATGCAGTCAAACCAGGCCAGCAGGAAGAGCAAGGGGGAGAGATTTCAGAGGAACAGCCGTGTTAGTCTGTATTCGCAAAAAGAAAAGGAGTACTTGTGGCACCTTAGAGACTAACCAATTTATTTGAGCATGAGCTTTCGTGAGCTACAGCTCACTTCATCAGATGTTCATCAGAGAGAGAGGCTGCAGCTTGACCTGTATCTTTCACGAAGGATTCCCAGCAATTCGTGCAAGCCACACAAGGGGGCTGGGGTTGCCATTCAAAGCCCAGAGTTAATACAGCATATCAGCGAGGCAGCTGAAGTGGGGCTGTCAGCTGGGATCAAACTTCAATAGCATCCCTGTTATTTCTTAGCGCCTAGAGGCCCAGTCGCGCACCGTGCTAGGCGCTGGACACTCGTGAGGCATTTGTTTGTTGTCCTAGACTGGACAAAAAGATCTAGTAAATAGCCTAGAGGGAAGGATCCTTCCGGGTTCTGCAGATGGACTAGATGGGACCTAACGGGGCTTTCCCATCTCTAGGGCCTGTCATCAGGGGTAGTTGTACTGGTGTCCATTTGCTGTAATGTCTTCGTGAGTGGGAGGAAGGATGGTCCCGTAGCTAAGGCTGAAAATTGGGAGAACTGAGCTCTTCCTCTGTCCCCGACCCTCTGTGTGGCCTGGAGCAAGATACTCAAGCCAAAATGTTCAGACTTGGGTACCTAAAGATTAGGGTGACCAGATAGTAAGTGAAAAATCGGGACGGGGGTGTGGGGTAATTGGCACCTATATAAGAAGAAGCCCCAAATATTGGGACTGTCCCTATAAAATCGGGATATCTGGCCACCCTACTAAAGATAGACTCCTAAATCCATAGTTAGGCAGCTAAATAAAAGTGACCCGATTCTCACTGGCTTCAGTGGGTGCTGTCAGGACTCAACACCACTGAAAATCAGGTCACATATTTCAGTCCCTCAGTACATATTGAGGTGCCTAACTTCAGGCACCCAGGATTGAAAGTTTTGCTCAGACTCCCTCCGTGCCTCAGTTTCCCCATCTGTAAAAGGAGATAATGATCGTGACTCACCTCAGGGAAGCAGGAGGATTTGTTCATTCCTGTTCAGGAAAAGCTTTGAGATCCAGATATTGAAGAGGCTAGAGATCGGCAACGTCATTTTATTATTCGTTACATCTGTCAATATATTTAAGGAGAGCCACTCCTCTTTTCCTCCCAGCCTCTGGAACGCAGCTTCTCATGCTTCTTGTTATGTATCTGTTGCGTGCTGACAGCATGCTTGGTGCTGCATGGAAAAAATCATCTCTCTGCCCTAAACAAACAGCAGGCTCCCATGCAGACACACAGCTGTGCTGGGGGACCAGAAGGGTGGGTTCCATCAAACAGTGGAGTAGCAGGTCTGTGTGTTTTGTTACCCAATATATAACAACGCTTCTTTGGGTGGCAGATTAGCACCAAGGGGGTTTCCTTCTACTGGACCCTGTCATGAGGTCAACTGCCTGCGTTTGTGATATCACAGTGTGTTGCCATGGAAATGCCTCTGGTAAGAGGACATCACTGCAGGATCTAGCAGGAGGAGATGGCAAATTCCTTTGTTTGAGGGCAGATCTCTTGGATAGTTATGCCAAACAGAACAAGAGCAGCATCTGGAGGCTACCCACCTGTTGCCACCTGCACTTTCAGAGCAATAGATTCGCAGATCCCACCGGTGCTCTGTATTCCAAGGAGCTGTGATCTTGCTTAGCATTTGGGTGTGACTCATGCACGAGCATCTCGTCCCATGGTGGCAGACCCGCTTTAAAGAGAAACATTGTGGTTTTAACACCCCCTGTCCCTGTTTAAATTCTCCTCCGCACATTCTGGAAGCAGAGAGAGAGAGATACTTGGATTTAGAACAAATAAGAAACCTCCAAAGACCCTTTGGAGAGCTGCTTGGGAACAAGAGGGGATATGGCAGAATAAGCTTAATTATGACAGCAAAATGGGATTGAGGAGGGGATCTATTAGTTATATGCTGGGCTGGAGACACGAGAAGCCAAGAAGCAGGGCTGCCTGGCATCTGGGGCGGACAGGAGGAGAGGAGAAACATCTGTCACAAAAGGATGACCAGAAAAGGAGGGGACAGGCATGTCACTCAGCTTAGCAAGTGCAGAGGAGCAGTCAGACCTGGGAAGTAGCTAGTATTCCCCAGAGCTGCGCTGCTCCAAGAGCGGGCGCGTGCGTGGGGTTAACAGGCATAGGGACCTCTATGTCTGGGTCTACAGTTACAGGGCCAAGTCCTGACCTTTTTACCCAGGCAAAATTCTCATGGGTATTTTCGCTGAGGAAGGAGGGAGTCAAAGCTGAGTAAGGGATTCAGGGCTGGGCTCATATGTGTTAGCTAGTGGGCTTGATTCATGGCTAGGCCCACGTGGGCTCCAATGTACGCTCCTTGTGCCCATGTGTGTAGCTGCACCAGAGGCGAGATTCACCCCTACAGGAGGGCAAGTAGTGTCTAGCCAGGGGCGGAGCCCCACTAGAATCCCACCAAATCGACCCAGGGAGCACCTCTGCCAGGGGCCTTCCTTGGCTCTGTCCCCTCCCCTAGCTGCCCCCACCCCATTTTAGGGCTGCACCAGATGGCTCTGGGCACAACAGGTATGAGGGCCACTTGCACTCTTGTGCCTCCTCTACTCCTGAGAGGGCTCCCCTGCAGCTGGGGCCTTCAAGCAGAAGCGAATCTATCCCAATGTTTGCACAGTGCTTTGAAAACACGGGGCCAGATTTTATTGTATGCACAAGTCCCCTGGGCATTCGCAGTGATTGTGCATGCAAAGTCCAATTAGATGTCTGGGTGACCATTTGCTCAGCTACTTCAGTGATGGAGAGCTCATATAAGCCACCTGGACAGATAGACACACATGGGCACTACGGTCCTGCAAATAATAATATAGGTTTAACCACTGCCCTTCATTTAATATAACCATTGGGGCAGTTAAGCGTACATCATCGCCCAAAGCAATGGCATACGTGAATGAGATCAGGAATTTACAGTGTGGGCAGAGGGATTTTGCTCAGTATTATTTTAATCAAGGGTTGATGTGGTGAGGAAGAAGCAGGACAGAGACAGACACAGCCTGGAAGTGTGATGTGGCCCTGGGAGAAGCCTAGAGAGAGATTTAGGGTGGAGGTGCCAGCTAAAAGAACCTTGGACCTGTGAGCAAGGACATTGCCTCCCATTATTTGATTCCTCCTGTGTTCAGGGAAACGGGACTTTGTATATTCTTGGTAAATAAAAAAGATTGCATCAAAGAAGTGCCTCATCGGTGTCTCCTTCATTGGAAACAACCCCAGGGTCCCAAACTCTGACTGGCTGCTTGGGTCACAAGGGATAACAAAAGAATAACCATGTAATTACCGTGGCTGATTGTGCAATCGCAGGAATTCAATAGCCAAGTCATGCCGGTGCATTTTTCACAGATCATTTTAAAACCTGGGCCATAAAGTGCTGCAGAGGAGCTCTGTGCTATTATTGTGGCGTGTAGTGCTGCAAGTGTAAATAATACTAATTCTTAGCTCTGACAGAGTTTCCCATCTCGAGGCATTGTACGGACATTAGTGGCAATGCTGACTTTGTCCTTCTCTAACACCTCCTAATCGAGGACCTCAAAGAACTTTCCAGACAATAATGACCCAATCCACACAGCTCCCCTGCAATGTATCCCCATTATTGGACTGTATATCATACCCATCTGACAGATTGGTAAACTGAGTCACAGAGCACTGAAGTGACTTGAAGGGGAAAAAACAACCAGACTTGTGCTCTTTTCTGCTTCTTTGTGAGGCAAGAAGGTGGCTGGACAAGATTTTTCCCCTGCATCTTCACTGTTCCTTAGATATATCAGGAATGGCAAGTCTTGCCCTCCCTGCTTCTGACATGGGACTCAGAAGTGTGCACAGGGATCTTCCCCAGCCCGTAACTGAAGGGGCTGGGTGTAGAATCCTTAATAGTGAGCTTTTTCTGTCTTACATGGGGAGGGTTGGAAGAGGGGAGGGGACTGGTGCCGCATGGGGATGAGTGGGAGCCTGCTGGTGGAAGGAGTGGGTCAGAGAAAATGGTTCTTCCCTATGCCCCCGCCCCAATGCTTCCACCTGTATACCGCCTCTACAAGTATTGTACCCCAGAGTGAGGGAAGTGGGGGAGGGAAAGCAAGCAAGCACCTATGCTGCCGAGATACAGGGTCTATGCTTCACCCCCTTTAACCTGCAAACAGGGCCAAGTATCAACAGCACAAGGCCACAGCCATAACTTCTCCCTTACTTGGAGGCGTTTACCACGAATCTATCTCCATCACTTCTGTCCAGATTCACCGTGGGCAGGTGTGAACTCAACAGAGCATCAGTGAAGGCAGCCGCAGGCCTGTGAACCCACCCCCTGCAACCCCAGGCAGTAGGTAGGATTCGTCTCTGCCCTTTCCCCTGTCACTCACGCTCCACATGATGACTGCAAGCAGCCCAGGCTCTCAGCGTGTTTGCCTGCTGTCCTACATTTTCCAAAGCAGCTCCTGGCTATTGTCTTGTGGCTGTTACAATTCAAGCCCAAGTTGCAGCCAGGATGTTCTGTGCCTGGAAAGTAGGGCTTATATCTGAGTTAGCATGATAATGGAGTGTAAATCTATATGCGGAGGTTTTCAATTCCTCTATAATGAATTGATAAAGTTACTGCAGCTCCCACTTTCCCTAAAGCTCACTGACAACACGCTCATATGGCTGCAGAACTCCCCAGATCCCT